TCTCGAAAAGTTAACAGTGAGCAACCCGTACTGCTTCAGCACTTCGCTACAAGTTCCTTGCAAATCAACAATGAAACTTGAAATTTTGAAAAAAAAAAGTGTCCGTTTCAAATTTGACAACAACGCTCGAAGGTGTACTAGTGAACATAGATACTTTATCTACAATCAGAAAAAAAAGAAATATAGGAAATTAGCGTTTCAATAAACATTTCATAGATATAGATCACAATTATAGAAAAGCTGATGTGTACTAGAAATGACGAAAAGACTACCTGATAGAATCAAGACTTCATTATCAAAAAACAACGTCAACAACACAACAGAACACCAACACACGGCACAAGAACAAGGAAATGTGAGCAAACGCTGTTTGCAAATCTCGGAGCGATCACTAATCGCTCTTCAAACCGATATTAGAAGTCCAGAGTTCCTCAAAAAGCAGCTGAGATAACTTAGGTACAAACGTTGATACGCTAAATTGCACCAAGATTTTGATCTTCTGTTCGCTGAATTTGGGTGACAAATTTCGACCAAAGATTAGAAAACAAAATGACAAAACAATAAGAATACGGCTATTTTTCTCGCTGTTTATTGTAGAACCAGCCCAATTTGAGCAGGTTTCATATCCGGGCACCTCCAGTTGTAGAGATAATATTGAAGATTACCATCACCAATTCCAAACTTAAGGTCTTCCAAAATCGAGGCATTCTGCATGAGATCCAAGGCGTTGAACACATCAAAGCCAAGCTATAAGAGAAAAACAGCGCATATTAGCAATACAAGCAGAGATAGAAGCAGACCTTGTGAGCAAAAATGAGAGCATCGTTCATAAGCTGCTTGAAGGATACGGTCGTAGCAACATTATAGAAGGAATACACGGCCCGAATACTTTTGTGAACAGGATGGTGCATGACAGATGAGGGTAGCGAGTAGAAAGATAACATATCAGTTATTTTCCCTCCGGTCTGAAATTTCATGCAGTCTAAGATATTATTTGAGGAGAAAACTTTTTGAAAAATCACTTACCTCTAGCACGTATGTGTAAACAACATCTTCGATCGGCATAAATATGTGTTCAAACTCTTTCTTCGTAAAAACAGGAGCCAAAGAAAACTGCTTGAGATACTCGGTTAGCAACTTCCACGCAGATGGTATGTCCTTTTTCTCAAGAGGTCTCAAACCTACTGTTACCGGCGCCTACAAATTTTTTGATTCAAGAAAGAAGTTAATTTATCGAAATCGAAGAAATGATTAGTATTTTCTGCCTAAAGGGCGAGAGACTTCTGGAAGAAAAAGAGTTTTGAAAAGAACTGAAAATCACAAAGCGCTCAGACAGGGCTTGAAAAATAAGAGACATGACATGTGAGGGAAGAATGAATTATAACATCTCAGTTTTGACATGACATGTGAGGGAAGAATGAATTATAACATCTCAGTTTTGCCAGTTTCGTGACATCAGACTTTCGACAATTTGTCTTTCTAGACCTAAGCAAAACCCTAACTTCCTGCATTCAATATAAATAACTTATGAACTTACATCAGGAAGTTTATACAACTTTATAGTACGCGCCATCGTCATTTTTGCGGAAAGATGTGAAAATCGTACGTCAATAAGTTTCTTTGGATTGAGAGAGCGATGCCAATACCTGGAAAATTTTTCAATCTAGAAAGCAAGTTCTGTTATTTTAATGTCCAGCTTCAAAAGTTAAAACCACATACCTACACACTCCTACCGGTTTTGGTATGACAACACCAGCTGTGTATACCGCTTGGAAGATTTTCTGCTGGTTCACCCGTCTTGTGATCTCACGTATCAACACCGGTGCTACCCGTTTTGACCTTACAATGGACATCCGGGAATTCAGCCATAAGCAGACCAGCGTAGACTCACCTCAGTTTTTTGTGAACACAAAGAAAATTTATTTCTACCATAGGTCGCTCCTTATCGTACACGCGAATAGTTTGTGGTACTGCAGCGATAAAAGCGAGAAGACGACCACTTTGTTTTGCTCGAACGCCACAATGCCATTGTGGCAACCATCCTGGCATCTGTACTGCCCTGAAGATATACGAAATTCCAAAACACACACATGAATAATTTTGTATTGATACAGTCAAACATCCTCAGATTCCGCACGGCTTTGAGGAAAAGGCATTATGTTGAAATAAGAGGTTTGTGAACTTTTAAAGGCCCATGCCTTAATAATAATAATGGGGAATTTGCTTCATTTTGATCTTTCGGAAATTTTTATATTTTACAAGTAAGATCGCGTGTTTCGCTCCATATCGATTATAATATTTTAATGTATTCAACAGATCGAGTTTCCTTCAAATAAAACTAGTACAAGCATTCAATAGCGTCCTGACCTTCACGAGATACAATATCGAACCGATTTCGGATGCGCTTTAAGCACTAATCTCGCACAACGCTTTGCTGTGAGAATGCGAATGATGTACAAAATGTGGAGCGAAACCTACCACTTCAAAAAAGCAGCAGAGTAATCGAAACGGAACATATTGTCGTCGTCCTCGACATAATTCTCAGTTAACAGAGTATACAGCTCCTGAACAAGAATAATCGACCCTACCCAGAAACGTTCTAAACGTTTGTTCTATATTCGCTTGATATAAAGTGAAACGGAGAAAAATCTTTTGATTAGTGTATGAAAGAGCGCGTACCTGTAGCTGCTTCTCATCATTGAGATCGACGTCACTCCAGACAAAAGATTCAGGCAAAGAATAAGGTTCTTGACGAATCTGGATGGAAGCTGACTGATTTAAGAAGCCCAACGAAGTATATGTGACGAACAATATGATTCCACATTCATATCTTACCTTCTCTGCTGGAAGATCAGGTTCAATAAAGTTGTTCTCGTTGGAAGGTTCGGCTTCATCTGAAAAATTATGAAGTGAATTTTGAACTTTATGACACAAAATAAATTCATTAATTGAAGGAAGAAAAACGATACCAATACCTACCAAACTGTGGTACAGGTTGGGTGCTCCAAAAGGCGAAGTTCTTCGTCTGAAACTATATATGCGTTGGAAAATACAATTGCGATGGCAAAATGAACCAAACAATTCTTAAGAAAGAACTTCCACTGCTGTCAATCACAAAACTGCTCAGCCCTCCGAAGCCTCCAAAAATGAACTACTACAAAACCTCCAGAAACTGGAATGCTACCGAACATTCAAAAGTTGTAATTACTACAGTGCTAACTCAGGTAATATCGCTAATCACAATCAGAAAAGAATGCATAGGTACAACAAATTTCACCCTGCCTCATTAAGCTCTTCATGTTCGACGAAACGCATGAGCCAGTATCTCTAATTCAAAACGTAAAAAGAACCAGACATTATCTTAACAGCCACAAGACTGTAAAATGAGATTGAAGATCAAGCTGATTATATAGCGCTTGATATGTCTGCACGTGTGTTGGTTTCTCTGTTTGTCAAAAAAGTCAACAATTTCAAAGTAGTTACAATTAATATTAGGAAATTGCTAAAAACTAAATGATTTTGAGCAATTCTTGTTGTGAGAGCACAGTAATTTAGCCATTCCGCTTGCTACGGCCAGGCTCAGCAGTCGAGTGCTTTCTGCGCTCTTTTCCTTCTATTTTTTACTTAAATGCGTTTATAATGATTTTTTAATATGATTAGAGATGTGGGTGAGAGTACTGTCCTATTGTTATTAGAAACCTAACTCTTCAATACACATGCCTCTCCGAAGAGGAGTGAAGGAAGCAGAAAT